CAGGTCTTCAGGGTTCCAGGTATGTGGGCATAGATGTGGGTCAGAGAAATGCCTGTGGACATTCCGCATGCCTGTGGACATTCCGCATGCCTGTGGACAAAAATGCCTATACAATTCCTAGAATTCTTATTATATCTATTTAGAAATAGTAGCAATGTCGCCTGTAGAGCAGAATTAGGTAGATGCTTGGTCCAAATGGGCACAACCTCACACTCCCTTCAAATGGATGCTCTCCTCTTACAGCAAAGCCTTCCAACAAATACCCGTAGACTACATGTAACTTTATTGCAACGTGTTAAAGACATACCGGTTTTAGATCACAATGGATACTCCTCTTTGTGGCATTCCGAATCAACATTGTGACCCTGAACATGTTGGGGGAAATGCTGAGAAGGACTCTGACTTACAGATATACACATGTCTTCTTCAGTTTACAAGAGAGAAGTCAAACCCTTCAGACATAGTTTTAGACATAGCTATAATTTTAGACAAATACCTTTCATTTGTAGATTTTAGTTATTTTATATACTGCTCTTCTTTTATGTTTGTAACTGGCAATTAGCCTCCGGGGCCGGGGCATGAACAGGAATGTGAATCAGCATGTGTCTGCTCAGTTGTGAATCTGTTCAATTTCCACAATGTCGCAAGGGTTTCCTGGAATTTCACTTTGTAGGAAAGTGGTCCAGAATGTAGGACATACACTTGAAAGGCATGTGGGAAAGGAATGTGGGTATGATTGTAGGTATGTGAGGAAAGCAGACTGATTGTGGGGCTGGAAGGAGAGATCACTTTGGCTTGGTTTGAGGCAGTCATCACAGGGAGGTACAGATTCGCGGCCTGAGTTCAGAGTTTACAAGCCTGGTAACCAGTCTCAGCGGGTCAGTTTAGAGGTGTTTTCCGACCCCATCAGGGAAACACGGCGGTCTGTTTCACCACTACAAGGGCTAGTTTTCAGTTCTGTGTGGTTGTCCAAATGGGGACCTTCCACGTGCTTCTTACGGCCTGGCAATCCTTAGAAGGTAATACAACATCCAATGTACTTATGAATAAAAAGAGCCCTATAGGACACCTGTGTCGATCGTAAAAAGTAAAAATCTTCCTCTGTTGTTGGAACTGTGATAGATTTGTGTGATTTTAATTTTAGGTGAAACGTAAGTCTGTTATAAAGGACTATTAAATGTACAGGAAATAATCTGCCATTGATAATGATTACCCGGGGAATAATTGTCCTATAACAAAATTGATCTAGTCGAAGGATTTGGTTATGCTTACCTAACGTTAACAACCTATCAAGTTGAACGTCAATATCTGATGTCCACAAGAAATATTATATTAAACTACATATGAGACCTCACCTATCGAAAATGTACACAACCAATTCTGTAAAAATGTTCTTGGTGTATTTAGAAATAGTAAGCAATGTCGCCTGTAGAGCAGAATTAGGTAGACTTCCTTTAGATACAGATATTTGTATATAGATATACTAGTAGTTAAATTCTGGTTATGCTTGGTCCAAATGGACACAACCTCACACTCCCTTCAAACGGATGCTCTCTCTTACAGCAAAGCCTACAAATACCCGTAGACAAACTTAATTGCAACGTGTTAAAGACATACCGGTATTAGATCATAATGGATACTCCTCTTTGTGGCATTCTGATAACTCACATTGTGACCCTGAACATGTTGGGGAAATGCTGAAAAGGAGACTTACAGATATAACGTTACACGTGTCTTCTAACGTTATAAAAGAGAAGTCAAACCCTTCAGACATAGTTTTAGACTTAGACGTAGCTATAATTTTAGACAACTACCTTTCATTATGTGGATTTTAGTTATTTTATATACTGTTCTTCAATGGTCTTTTATGTTTGTAACTGGCAATTAACCTCCGGGTATGAATTTGCAATAAACTTCTCAATTATTATAGAGAGAAAGATATAGTACCTGTTCAAATGCAGCAGAGTTGAAGACTGTCGATGATACGTAGGGGAAGATGTTCTACACTAATTCAGAAAACTCACTTACTGCTTACTTCATTAACATCATGGGAGCTATAGCTATATGAGCTAGATAATGTTGCATGGGAGTGGACAGGGATGTAAATCAGCATGTGTCTGCTCAGTTGTGAATCTGTACAATTTCCACAATGTCCCGAGGGTTTCCTGGAATTTCACTACGTAGGAATGTGGGCATAGATGTGTGTCAGCAAAATCCCAGACATGCCTGTAGACATTCCATTCCTGTGGAAAAAAATGCCTGTGCAATTCCTAGAATTCTTGCAAACTGCACACAATACTGTACCATTAGGCTCCCCCCTGAGGCGTCGCCAAAAAAGCATGGCCGTATTGTAGCTCTTAGAATAAACCATATGAAAATTTAAAAAAAAATGTTACCTGGCAGAACCTTCTCTGAGTGGCGCTTATTTTTTTTCTATTGGAAGTAGCGCTTTTAGTAGAACAAAATGTATCCATTTTATATTCTAGTGTGCCAGTCAAGCACGAGTTGTGGAGAAGTTTTGAGCTTTCCCTGGACAATAACCCAACATGACTACGCTGACATCCCCCCTGACCGCTGTGACGGCTTGTGTCCGCATGAGAACAGACGCCGGTCATACTGAAACATTGTTCAGCTACGCCACCCAGCGACATCATAATGAATTTGTACTGTTTGATGACTGGAATCGGACAACATTTAGCGTATGTTCACTTGCTTAAAAGGAAAGATAAGGAACACACAAAATGTCTATAGATGAATATTATATTTTTGGCAAATATTTACATATTGTTTAGGTTTATGTTGAAAACACTCCTTACGATGCAATTGCAACATACTTGCGTTGTAGTGATGTCCGAATATAAAAAAAAACAACAACAATTATTAGACAATAATTTAACTTTATAGTGATTTCCGAATGTAGAAAAACAAGTATTACACCATTATGCCCTCTACCTTGCAAGTTTACTGGCCTTACAGTTTCCAATGTTGACTCACTAGGTCGTCATGCAACCCACTGGCACAGGTCTCTTGAACCTCCATGTGTTGGATCGCATGTGGCACTTAGTCTGCTTCACATGGCAGAATTCCATTGGCGATTGGAAAATGTACACAGATGGGCTCCTTGTCAATAATGGTACTGGTTTAGCTGTCGGAGACACAGTTGAAGCTGGTGGAGTTTGGATCCTTGGTCAAGATCAGGATACTCCAGGTGGAGGATTAGACCCTTCCCAAGCTTTCAGAGGAGACATTTCTAACTTCAATCTGTGGAATCATGTCCTCGCTGACTCCCAGATTCTACAACTAAGCGTAAATGCCAGCGCTTACAACGGGAACGTGATAGACTAGGAAACTGTTGGCAAACTAATGTATGGCAGAGCCCGGTTGTACCAGGTTTACTGTGGTACGTGCATCCAATAATATGATTGTAACTTAATTAATTTTTAAAGTAATCAGTGCATTTTAGACAATATACATCCATGCAATATTAAGTGTGTGTGTGCCAGTACATTTGTTTTTAGTCATGGTCATGTACCTTTTTATCTGAACGTTCCAGGAAAGGCGGTCATAGAAGCGCGTGCGATCAGAAAACCCCTCTCCCCGCGACAGCACCGGGAGCACCTGCAAATCAGGGGCTAAGCTTTAACGCTGTTTAGGCGGACAAAAGCATACCTTTGTCTATTAATGGATGCGCGCTCAAATTTTCATTGTTAGGGACTTGCAACACTCATACTGTACATGTACATGTATGTTCATTCTGTATGGGTTGTGTGTTGACATTCAGGACTACACAGACGTACGTGCAAGATGCTTGTTTCTTTTTTTTCATATATACCACTCCACTCATACCATAGACTGATCTACAGCAGTAATCCCGTGAAGCAGGTTTATTTTAGAAAATTTTCACTACTTTTAATAAATTTAGACACAGAGGTGTGAGTGCTTTGCACTCAGGCATACACCATACAGTCGGTTGGTTGGCTTGTTGTTTGTTTGTTTGTTTGTTTGTTTGTTTGTTTGGTTGGTTGGTTGGTTGGTTGGTTGGTTGGTTGGTTGGTTGGTTGGTTGGTTGGTTGGTAGGATGGATGGATGTTTAGTTGGTTGGTTGGTTGATGGTTTGGTTGGTTAATTGGTTAGATAGATGGTTGGTTGGTTGGATGGATGGATGTTTTGTCCTTTGGTTGGTTGGATGGATCTATGTTTGGTTGTCTGGTTGGTTGGTTGGTCTTTTGGTTGGTTGGTTGGTTGGTTGGTTGGATGGGTGGATGTTTAGTTGGTTGGTTGGTTGATCGTTTGGTTGGTTAATTGGTTAGATAGATGGTTGGTTGGTTGGTTGGTTGGATGTTTTGTCCTTTGGTTGGTTGGATGGATCTATGTTTGGTTGTCTGGTTGGTTGGTTGGTCTTTTGGTTGGTTGGTTGGTTGGTTGGTCTTTTGGTTGGTTGGTTGGTTGGTTGGATGTATGGTTAGTTGGTTGTTCAGTTGGTTTGTTGGTTGGTTGGATGTATGGTTGGTTGGTCTGTTCGATGGATGGTTGCTCGTTTGTTTGTTTGTTTGTTTGTTTGTTTGGTTAGTTGGATGGCTGTTTGGTTGGTTGTTTGGTTAGTTGGATGGCTGTTTGGTTGGTTAGTTGTTTGGTCGTTTGCTTGGTTGGTTGGTTAGATAGGTTGATGGTTGATTGGTTATTTGTATGCATGGAGGGATGAATGGGTGGTTCGAATGTTGTTTGTTTGTTTGTACGGATGGATGGATGAATGAATGGATAGTTGATTGATTAAATGGTTGGTTGGTTGGTTGGTTGGTTGGTTGGTTGGTTGGTATGTTGGTTGGTTGGTTAGATGGTTCGTTGGTTGGTCGTTTGATTGGTTGGTCGTTTGGGTGGTTTGTTTAGACTGTTCAAAGGCAATTGCACAAAGGTCATGCATTTGGTAATAGTGTATCTACCTGTCGATAGACATTTCGTTATATATGTCTCACTGACTGATTTCTTTGCTATTTCTCCAGAGAGTACCATCGCTGCAGGTGATCCCTGTATGACCTACACAGAGATCTACGAGCCTCACCGCAGTACAGCTCATGTCGTGACCGGGGGGTTCAGCTGTGACGTCGGGCTCCAGCCAGGATGGTACCGGTTCACCGCGTACACCGGTGGGAAAATGGCAGAAGAGTGTCAAGACACTGGGCACTGTGGCACCCGCACACCGATTTGGTTAAATGGAATCCATCCAGACATAGCTGATGGGATCACTGATATGACGGCATGCATCAGCTATGGCCTCAACTTGTGCTGTGTAACAGAGATCTCTATACAAGTGAAGAAATGTCCCGAGGGTTTCTATGTGTACAATCTTGCTGCTCCATATGGTTGCGACAGCGGATACTGTGTAGGTAAGTCATTTATGCCTGCGTCTCGTTGTTGACGAGCTTCAGCTGTATTTTCTGTTTTCCAAAAGGTAGGACGATTTTGAGATTTTTTTTCGCTTGAAAATCGTCCCCGTCACATTGAGCGATGCTCGGGCGATCGCTTGTGGATACATCTATGTAGAAATATATCTAACGAAGCCCTAATACCCCCGTCACATTGTCGACGAGCTTCGGCCGTATTTGTCAATCGCCGAAAGATCGGCCGATTTTGGGATCGATCGACGATAGCGCGTATTTTTGGCTTGAAAATCGTCGCCGTCACATTGTGCGAGGCTCAGGCGACCGCTTGGCAATACACCTATGATAATGAAGTCCCTATGACATGGCACGCAGATGAAGCAAGGCCAGTGTATCCACCAAAAATGAATAGTTTGACCAATTTTTATGTCAGACCTGTCGTTATATTTTTTTAAGCAAAGTAATGGAGCGGACTGGCAGAATGAAATAGAAATACAAACAGGAATTCTGTGAAGGATCCAACTCAAATACTACCACAAGAGCCACAAATTTACACTACCGTCTGGTTAACACAACGACCACCTTTTAACCAGACAGGAGTCGGCCGAAGCTCGCTCGACACACGGGCGTACGTCACCCGAGTTACGGTCGACGATCTATCGATGCTCGCACGATCTATAGACCATTCAACCAAAACGTACAACAAGATATAATTATTATTATATAAAAATATTTTTATACGCGCGTACCTGAACAAAGCTAACAAGATTGTTCTAAAACTTTGCCTGTATACTTCTGTCTAAAATAGTATGAATCTTCCGGTAAACAAGCCATTCAATGTCAACAAAGTAGACAGAGGTAAAACGACCCACGCAATATAAACTTCAACTAGTAAGTAATATCTATCACATGACGTTGTTGTGGGCACCCTAAGACGAAAAGTCAACCCCATTCCAGAAGGAACAAGTGTAAACGTCAATTTATTATACAATTATCTGAAATAAGGTCACACACCTCCTAAAGGGACAAGAGTAAAGGATTTCATGTGCGTTCAATCAGTTTAGGTAAAAATCTAGGCATTTGGTCTTATATAGTTAAAATCTCGTCATCTTTTTAAAGTGGTTTCGTTTATTAAGGAATGTTGATTTATTAAAAGGACAAAAAGGACGCTTTTGTCTATTTTTATCCTTTCTCGTAAACATAACTTAAACAATCTATGGGACGTTGCTCCTGCAAACTTTACACAGTATATATACTGTCAATGCAATCTCAAATAAATGTCACCGGTGCTGAATAAATAATAATTTCACAGGAGCTAGGCCGAGGCTCGTAGAACCTTCGTCCGACACTGGCACGAAGCTCGCTCGAAGCACGCACGATTTTAAAAACTTTGCGCAGGTCGGGCGAGGTACGGAAGGGGGTCGTCCGAACATTTCGCGAAGCTCGCGCGAGGGTCGACCGTATTCAGCGACCGTCGCCCGATTTTCAAAGACGAAATTCGGCCGAGACTCGTGGGATGTACCTCCGAATATCGGTCGACTCTTGGCCGCACAGTGGCGAGCTACGTCCGAGCTACGCGCGAGCTGGAAACGAGCTCTGCGACCTCAAAAATCGCCGGCGACTAGTCGCTGATGTTAAGAACACGTTTCGCGTGTCAGCGAGATTCGGCCGACTCCAAAAAATCGCCGGTGATCCCGAAAATTCACGCGATGCTCGACAGAACATCGGGCGTACTACGGCCGTAAATGTCGTTTAGAGCTCGCCGACTAGTCGGCCGATCGATTTACGCACAATGTGACGGGGGTATTATGACATGGCACGCGGAAGAATTGAGGCCAGTCCATCCACCTAAAAATGGAATCGACCGATTTTTATGATTTGGCGGTCGTAATGTTTTGTAGTATAGTAATGGGGTAGATAAGCAGCATATAATAGAAAAACAGGAAAAACAGGAATTCTGTGATAAATCCAACCCAGATACTACCATAAGAGCAAAAAATTGACAATATCTTCTGGTTATCAAATTGACCACCTTTTTAACTAAATGGGAGTCTGCTAGACACTCAGGAGTGCCCCGTTGGAGTTTCGGTCGATAATCTATCGATGCTTGCTCGATTTCTAGGCAATTCATTTGAAAGGTACAAAAACATTCCGTTCTCATTAAATATCATCAAGAAATAATAAACTTGTCTGTGAACTTGCTTACATGCACACATGCGTACCGAGTTTTACCGGTTAAAAATCTACTAAACTGCAGTCAAATGTTTATCGCTGCATGGCCTCAGCTGAGCATCTAGCCCGGTTTAACGCACGTTTTGTTCATACCATTTCAAAAGCCATCTGTATACACCCTCTAATGCCATTCCATACTTTTTCTTTTACCTCTGTCTCTGATAAAAGTTATCAGAATTGAATAAAGATATGCTTTGTTGTACGTTTGAGATGAAAGGCCTAGAAATCAAGCGAACATCGGTAGATCGTTGACCAAACTCGAACGGGGCACGCCTGACGGTGTCGAGCGAGTTTTCCGGCCATCTCCGATTTAGTTAAAAAGGTGGTCATTTATATCCAAAAGTTACTGTTAATTTGTGGCTCTTGTGGTAGTATATGGGTCGGGTCAACAACAGAATTCCGGTTCTTTTTTTAATTTCTATTTTATTTTGACATTCTGCTACATTACTTTGCTTAAACCATGACTACAACTAATAGAAAATTGCTCAAACTAGTTCTTTTAATGTGGATAGACTGGCTTCACTTCGTCCGCGTGCTATAAAATTGGGGCTTCATTATTACCTTCGCCAAGAACTGACGAAGGTTAATATGTTTTCCTGGCCGTGTGTCTTTGAGCCTATCTGTCCACCGGATACAAGCACCATTTTCACTTACAAGTGGAACATGGTGGCCACCATGATGTGGATGGAAGAGATGGATTTCTAATGTGTGTGTGTGGTGTGTGTGTGTGTGGTGTTTTTCGGTGGGTAATCGAGTACCTGTCCGTCCTTGAGGTCACCCTGGGGTTCATGTGTGACGCGCTGGATTGAGTACTTAGAATGCTCCATACAAAAAGTCGTAGAAAGGTCACGATACGTCAAATGAGGCTGGTGTATGTGTCCCCGTGATGTCAACGAGTCAGACCACCGTGTGTGGGTCAGTTGGAAATTCGAAAACCACTGGGAGACGAGATATGTCCCGTCAAAGTTGACCTTCTAAGTACTCATTTTGGCGTGGTTTTTCTGTGTTTTGCGGTCTGCATGGGGGGTTTCAGACGACCGCTGTCCAGTCTACTTCCGGGTCAAACCACGCCCCCTAACAGCTGCTAATACGCGTATGTGCGCTTATACTTGGACGGCAATTGCGTTCGATACGGATGTTCTGGCCAGTGTTATAACTAACGGTACGGCCCGGAGTCTCTTTTGTTATCACACATGCTTCCAAATGTTTCATAGAATAACTCGAACGGCCCCCGTTACACAAAAAGTGTAACGGCCACATGCGGCTGTCGGGCGATTAAACACGCGGTCGGGTTGGTACGTTGGGCAATACGGCATACACAGCGTAGTATTACTATATATTTTATTTCTTATTGCAAGATAACATGTAAGCCTTACCTCTAATAGTTGTTCTCTCAGGATCACTCAGTTTAACCATACTAATTGTTTCTTCGAACTTCACGTTACACCCTGTTCACCATGAACCATTCTGACCGGGACATATCATTCATGTTTCTAATGAAACATACCGTAAGTTGTCTTACAGACAATCTGTTTTGCTGTGCACACGTATGTAAGTTGTAATGTAGTTCATTTTCGTTCACGACAATTTCAGTTATGGGGTAATTGTAACTTTGGACTATATTTGGACTACATATATCTTTAAATGGAACAATGCTAGAATGTCTACATACATGTAAAAATTGCTTGACAAATAAAGACGGTAGATTTTTCACCTGTGTCACTTGAATGATATAGCCCAGTGAACAAGAGAATTCCCACCTGTGTCATAGGAATGACATATCCTTAACATGGCAGATATATGTCACCTGAGCCATTGGAATGATATAGCCCTGAACAGCAGAATTTTCACCTGTGTCGGGAATGACATAGCCCTAAGACGGCAGATATTTTACCTGTGTCATAGAAATTATATAGCCCTAAGACGGCAGATATTTTACCTGTGTCATAGGAATGACATAGCCCTAAGACGGCAGATATTTTACCTGTGTCATAGAAATTATATAGCCCTAAGACGGCAGATATTTTACCTGTGTCATAGAAATGACATAGCCCTAAGACGGCAGATATTTTACCTGTGTCATAGAAATGACATGGCCCTAAGACGGCAGATATTTTACCTGTGTCAAAGGAATGACATAGCCTTAAGACGGCAGATATTTTACCTGTGTCATAGAAAGTATATAGCCTTAAGACGGCAGATATTTTACCTGTGTCATAGAAATTATATAGCCCTAAGACGGCAGATATTTTACCTGTGTCATAGGAATGACATAGCCCTAAGACGGCAGATATTTTACCTGTGTCATAGGAATGACATGGCCCTAAGACGGCAGATATTTTACCTGTGTCATAGAAATGACATGGCCCTAAGACGGCAGATATTTTACCTGTGTCATAGGAATGACATAGCCCTAAGACGGCAGATACTGTCATTCCAATAACCAGCATGGAAATTTTGTTGTTCAAGGCTATATCATTCCAATGACATAGGTGAAATACGAATGATATAGCGCCTTAGACAACAGAATTTAAACCTTCTCTTGTAAGTTTATCTTTGTTGGTAAAAGTCATTATGAAACAAGTTTGAACTGCTATTGCGGTGTGGGTTTGCGGTATATCTTAACTTGCTGGGACCGTCCTCTTTACATAGAGCAAGTCCGTATCCTGGATGCGCTGTAAGTTGGTAGAGTAAGTCCGTATCGAGGATGCGCTCTGAGGTGCGATCTCTTTGGGATAGAGTAGGCCCGTATCCAGGATGCACTCTAAGTGCCG